GCCAGGACAGAGCCTTGGACGACGTGATCTTTTTTTCGTGAGAACAGGCGAAAATCAATGCGCGCGCGGATGTCATCCATAAAAATTACTTGCTGTGGCCTTAATTTTGTATTCTCTGAATCGCTTCGTCCCTGTCATCCTCCTAGTCTTACCTTAGTCAATCAGGATGCGGAGGTATCTCTGCAAGGTATTGATCTGCACATCGCAACAGTCGCGCACAAGAATGCTAATTGAGTATAGATCCTCTTCTTCTCTCCCAGACTCTTCCGTAAGTTTGTTTTTCGGGGCTCCTGAGGTCAGACCGAAACGTCGAAATCTCGTTAAAAAGTTTTTGAGGCAGCCTAGAAAAAAATCCAGTAATTCTGTTTATAGTCATAGGCATAGTCTTTTGCGACTAACTGACACTAGTAGTAGTAGTATTAGTAGTAGTATTAGTATTAGTACTGTAGTAGTAGGAGTAGGAGTAGGAGTAGTAGTAGTAGTAGTAGTAGTAGTACTAGTAGCGCCCAGGACCCCGCTATTATAAATACCGGTTATACAGATACGGATAAACTCGATAAACTTGTCCGATCAAACACACGACCGAATCATGTCATTTTAGTCACGTATACTAGATAACCAAATAGACAAGTTTAACACTTACGTAAGGAGGAAGCCTATACACAGAAATACAGATAAGCACATTTCACACGCCGCTAGTTTATAACAACTCCCCTACAGACCCGTACAGCCACAGAGGGCAAACGCAACGCCCGCTTTTGATTCCAACTCGGTAGCCAGCGACCCTGAATGCACGAGTCAACTGCCTCCAGCCCCCGTATTTTGATAACAATAAGGGCTACGTACTTAAAGGCATCCAATGTGATTTCAGGGCAGCAAAACTGGAAATATTCTGAATAAGAAAATCTTTGATATTGACACATACATCAGCACATTTAAATCAGCATTTCATACTTTGGGCATTTAAAACTACAGAAACAATCCCCAAGATGAGTGCTTTATTTTTTGGGAGGTACCCTAAAAATCAGCCCAGGGCCCTTCCAGGGTCAACATACATTGGGATATGTGGTGTCAACTCAGTATGTACTATATAGATAAATGACTAGAATTTTGGCTTGCCGTCTGCGTTATATACAAGTAATCTCGGCGTTCAGCAACGCAAATTAGCCTCCACCAGGCCTTTCTACGGAAATACGAATCGTAGAATTTGGCGAAAAACGAGAGTAAAATTGGCCAATGGAGTCCGGCCGCGGGGAGGTAGTTTCTTTCCCTCTACTGCGCGGCCAGTCAAACTACAAGGCGGCCAAACTCCCCTGGCAAATATACTCCTATATATAGCCACCGTAGTTAGTCTGGTAGAGACTAAATACAAATATTTATAACTGTAATTCCTGACGGAAGAGTTTACTTCCGTAAATCCTGGCGAAATGAAAACTTGGCTCGCGGCTCGCGGTGTGAAAATTTGTTTCAGCCATTTGAAGTGTTATGAGTCGCTAATGGGGAGGGATGGGGCTCGCGGATGGGGTCAGGCTGTTACAGTGAGGTCAGGAAGAAGTAATAGTGTGGTGAGATCAGAAATGGAAGGAATATTACACAGCTAACATGCATGGGAAACAGCGGAGGGCTGCGCTGCGTTCTCGACCTTAGGCCACATCGACGTGATTTTATGGATGACATCCGCGCGTTCATTGATTTTCGCCAGTTCTCAAGAAAGAATGAAAGAAAGAATGAAAGAGAGAGAGAGAAAAAAAGAAAGAAAGAAAGAACTGTTGCTATTATGATTTGTGAATGTACTAGTATTGCGTTGTTTTTAAAAAACAGGATTGTCTGAAAAACAGGTCAAATGACCTGAGCGCAATTTCCTGTATAAATAAATAAAGTGAAAGTGAAAGAAAGAAAGAAAGAAAGAAAGAAAGAAGAAAGAAAAAAGAAGAAAGAAAGAAAGAAAAAAGAAAGAAAGAAAGAGAAAGAAAGAAAGAAAGAAAGAAAGAAAGAAAGAAAGAAAGAAAGAAAGAAAGAAAGAAAGAAAGAAAGAAAGAAAGAAAGAAAGAAAGAAGAGCACGTCCTCCGAGGCTCTGGCCTGGCTCTAGGCCTGGGTAGTCCACGGTAGTTAGCGACAATAGGGAGCCCCGTTAACTCTGGAGGACGGTACCCAGGCTGCTGAAGCTCCACGACTCAAGAACTCCACGACTCAAGAACTCAGTACATACCGTATGGTGCCGATTCATAAGTTCCGCAAAAGGCCAGCATGTGCCGGCTTGTCGTATAGGTCGCTATGTACTGCCGCGAATTCACAATACCAGCTTTGTATTCCTGTGGTTTAGTAGCATTTGGCCGGAATTTTTTTATTCGCCCGCGCGCACTAGTTTGAAGGCCTTCAGAGGATGTCATCCATAAGATTAAGCCGGTGTGGCCTTACGCGGAATTCGGGGTGAATGGGGTTATCAGCTCATAAAGCCTGTACGTGGCCATCATTCAGATCCGGCGCTGAGGTCTGGGCCGGGTTGTCAGTTTGAAGGATGATCGACGTTCGTGTCGGACAACAACAACCGCATTTACGCGCGCGCGACCTTGCTACGCCCTCGGCGAGTCGTGACTGAGAGGAGTTTCGAACGCACATTTTTTCCCGCCAAAAGCGGTGACAGAGCCGGCCCGCTAGCCTGGTAACCAGACCGCCGTGAGCTCAGTGCTATCCTTCGGCGCCGAGAGCGTTTCGAACCGCCAACCA